TAGAATAGAATAAGGAATAGAATAGAATAAGGAATAGCATGGAGTAGAGTAGAATGGAATGGAATGGAATAGAATAAGAATAGAATAGAATAAGAATAGAATAGAATAGAATAGAATAGAATAGAATAGAATAGAATAGAATAGAATAGAATAGAATAAGAGTAGAGTAGAGTAGAGTAGAGTAGAGTAGAGTAGAGTAGAGTAGAATAAGAGAAGGGTCTTCAAACTTGACAGGTTTAAGACTTGTGGACTTCAACTTCCAGAATTCCTGAGCTAACATGACTGGAGGAGGAATCCTGGGAGTTGAAGTCCACAAGTCTTAAACCTGTCAAGTTTGAAGCCCCCTGTAATAAGGAATAGAATAGAAATAGAATTAGAGTAGAGTAGAGTAGAATAACGAAGTTGGAAGGAACCTTGGAGGTCTTCTAGTCCAACCCGCTGCTCGGGCACACCCAATTCCTGCAGCCATTCTTCATAGGCTTTAGCCCCCTGATCTGTTGCTCCCCTCTCCACTCTTGCTAGAGCCTCGACACCTTCTTTCTATCACGGAGCCCACCGCCGGCTGCAGTATTTCACAGGGGGTCCTTGGCAAAAAGGGTTCCCCGTCCTCCCTTCACGGGGCCAAAGCACAAGACAGCAGCCTCTGCTTCCATAAATTGATTGCAGGCAACCAACCACCTTCTCTGTGCTGATGGTTTTGAGGGTTTTTCTTTCTTTTTTTTTAAACACCGGACAGATGGCTACGTTCTGGAGCCTGACCTGCTTTAAAAACTGGATCTCATCCAGTGCTGGCGTTATGCTCAGGCGCCGTGGAAAGCATATTTCTCCCACGCAGTTTGTAAGATACATGCTGTTCATTTTAAAACTCCACGCATCAAGCTCAGCTGCCCCTTCTCCTCCCCCCCAAAACACCCGCCATAATATAAACTCGAATCTTTTTCAGATAGGTAAAGAAGAAGGAGAAGAGGAGGAGGAGGAGGAGGAAGAAGGGGAAGAGGAAGAGGAAGAAGAAAAAAAAGAAGAGGAGGAAGAAGAAGAGGAGGAGGAAGAGGAAGAAGGGGAAGAGGAAGAGGAAGAAAAAGAAGAGGAGGAAGAAGAAGAGGAGGAGGAGGAAGAGGAAGAGGAAGAAGAAGAAAAAGAAGAGGAGGAAGAAGAGGAAGAGGAGGAAGAGGAAGAAGGGGAAGAGGAAGAGGAAGAAGAAGAAAAAGAAGAGGAGGAAGAAGAAGAGGAGGAGGAGGAGGAAGAGGGGGAAAGAGGAAGAGGAAGAAGAAAAAGAAGACGAACACAAGGCTCTTTTCCTCCTGTCCCTCTCCAGCCATTTTTAAAAAAATATTTTGTTTTTAATTAAAAGAACAAAAATGTTTAAAAAAAGTGGCACGGAGCGCGGCATTATTTGGAACGCAACCAGGATCTTTGGCAGAAACTCGCGGTGATTCAAAAGCACGTCTTCCGGCGTAGCTTTCAAAATGCATATGTGGCCATTTGTACTGCATGGGCCAAAAGAGTGTTTGCAATCATTTCTCACCTCCAATTCTATCCCCCCACCCCCCAAAAAATGGAGAACGCTACAATCTTAAAAAGGAAGAAGACCCCACTGTTGGGAATTTCCTCCTCAATTCCAGGTTGCTTCTCACCTTGATTAGTTTCCATCTACTGCTTCTTGTCCTGCCTTCAGGGGCTTTGGAGGATAATTTGACCCTCCCTTCTTTGTAGCACAGCCTCAAATATTTGGAAGACTGCTGTCATGTCACCCCTAGTCCTTCTTTTCTCTAACTAACTAGATCATTAGACTGGTTCTAATATGCCTGAAAAGCACCAAGATAAGGCACCTTTATGAAAAGTCATTGAGCCGGTGCAGTTTGGCATACCCTCACGATGCCTCAAACGGCATCAAACCATCTTCAGCCAACATGTAACAAGGATAAGGACGGTCGCCGGAGCTGAGAAAGTTGGCCTCATTCGCCCTACAGGCAACGTCACCATTAAATATGCCACAAAGGCCTGAATTTCAAGGGTGTCCCTTCCATTCTCGAGAAAAGAGAGGCAACAACGATGTCTCTGCTCTTGCAGAGCGGAAAAGAAGAGATCTCAGACATCAAACACGGACCGGGAGGACATTTAGGTTAGAGAGAAAATATTATGCGGGACATTAAAACCAAGACGCCGACCCTGCCAAGGTAACCCACCGTCATTGGCTCCGAGGTAAATCATTAGTTAGGTCGGTTTTCTCTGCAGGGTTTGAACAGCCAGACCCCAGTTTTAAGAACCTCCCTAATTTATTCCCAAACAGGTGAAAACAAGAGTCGCTCCTGACTCAACCAACAGCATCAGGAAACCAGCCCTGGGGATCGCAAAGTCCTTCAGAGGGTTGTTGTGTTCAAGGCAGAAAAATAACACTGATTTCTCTGAACTTTTATAGAGGTTTGAAGTCCTTGCACGAAGCGGCTGTGGCACATTTTGTTGGGAGATTCTTTGGGCCTTTTAAAGTTTATCAAGACATAAAATGCAAAATAAATAAACAAACAAATAAATAAATAATGAGAAGAAAAGCAGGGAGGGGAAAAAAGGAAGGGAAGGGAGGGAGAAAAAGAAAGAAAAACGTTCACTTCTGACTCTACAGGTACTCCTTGACTTACAACCGTTTGCTTAGCGACCATGTGAAGTTACAACAGCATTGAAAAAGGGGGTTCCTGACCCTTTTTCACACTTACGACAGTTGCAGCATTCCCCACAGTCATGAGATCAACATTCAGACGCTTGATCTCTCTCTCTCTCTCACACACACACACGCACATATATATATATATAAATGGTAAACACAGCCTACTTCAAGGGGGGGAAAGGTTGTTTAATATACCATGAATAGTCCGTTCTCTTAAAATCCCATTACCACTCAAAGAGTTCAGGATAGGATACGTTTCTGTTCAATTTCTTCCTCTAAAGGAATTAGTGTCAGTTTTCTGTCAATACGCCGAAAATGTTTTGCACGCTCAAATGAGTTTCCAGTAATGTCTGCGGAGCAGGTTCATGCTTTCTTGACTCCTCATCGCAGTGACATTTGACTTAAAAATAAATAAATTATAGGAAAGCAAGCCTGCCTTCTTTCTTTCTTTCTTTCTTTCTTTCTTTCTTTCTTTCTTTCTTTC